GAGTTTCAGTGCAGTCTATGTTTTCATCCACTGAAATGCAGGTGTTGGGCTTAACATCTAATGCAATGAGTCTCTGGACTGTGGAGTTTATTGCACAAGTGTCAACTTTAGTTTCTTAGTATCCCTTTCATATCCCCTTTAATGAAACCTGAACCAGTTTATGGCTTTCAAATCAAAATCTGAAATCCACAATTTAATGGGCTTCGTTATATTATTTCTGGTTCTGATGGAGATCTATCCTGGGGATTTTAAAATAATGAACTGTATAAACCTCGTGAGTCCAGAAATTTCCAGTCATGATTTTTGTGGCCATATTTATAGATGGCGTGGAACTGCTTGGATGTGTTATTTGAGGTGTGACCGTTCTTGGCATAGTGTGCACTTCTCAAAAAAGACATGAGAAAAGGACACTGTTGAGCTGAAAAAGCAGGAAAGGCCCACATGATTAGGTGAAGAAATGGGAATGGTGTTATCTTTGGAGCTTGTGAGTTTGAGAAACTGGGCTACTGAAAAGCAGGATACAAGTTTGTAAAGTTACCCAAGATGTCAAAAAGCAGCTAGATAGGGTTGTTTTTGTTTTTGTTTACTTTCTCATAAAACCCTAGGGCAGGGGTAGGCAACCTTGGCTCTTTTAAGACTCGTGGACTTCAACTCCCAGAATTCCTGAGCCAGCCATGCTAAAATAATGTGAAATGCAGGTAGATAAACCAAAAAAGAAAACTCCCAAACTAATGACAAAATGCATTTTTCCCCATGATGGATAATAGTTCCCAATTTGGGTTGCTTAAGAAACAAAGATTAGAGAATGCAATAACAGAATAGGTATCACCACTTCAAATAGCAGTTTTTGTGGGCTCCTATGATTGGAGGCTTTCCTATGCTAACACCAAGTGTCTCCTTGGATGACATGATACTGAAAGCTATGCTAGTTTCCCGATATGTTGCTTTCAGAAGGGGACCCAGACTTCTTTTCTCTCCAGAAAAAGTGTGTGATATGATAGTTATAATCTGATACAGCTGTAATGGGAAGTTGGTACAGCCAATCCAATCTCTTTATTAAAGAGTGTGCAAAATTTGGTCTTTTGAGTCACAAAAATTTACTGGAGAGTTTTGCAAATACAACAGCAAGAGGCAGAAAGATTAAAACATGTAAGCGAGCATGTGTGATGCTAGCTGTGTGAAAACCAACACTGTTGTACATTCTCTACGAGTAAAAGAGTCTAGCTTTCAGTAAAAAGCATATATTCTTATCACTGTATTACACGGGTGTCAAACTGGATCGCATCACATGATATTACGTGACTTTTTTTCCTTTGCGGAGTTGGGGTGGGCGTGGCCTGCGTGTGACCCATCTGACCCGCAGGCCACCAGTTTGACACCCCTGCTATACAAGCTTATCCTAGAGCAGTGATGGCGAACCTTTTAGAGACCGAGTGCCCAAACTGCAATCCAAAAGCCACTTATTTATCGCCGGGTGCCAGGTGGGACATGGCCCTCTGGGTGGCTGTGGTGATCATGGCAGACTGGGTGGGTGTGGCCAAAGTGGGCGTGGTCACCTTGATGTTGCTTGTGGGGAGGGACACCTGTGGGGTCCAGGCAGGGTTGGGGGAGATCCAGGGGATCTCTGGCAGGTGGGGCAGTGGGCAGGAGGCTCGTCCTACGGGGTGAGGCGAGACAAGGCAGGGAGGGGATGCCATTGCTGCGGGGCAAGGCGAGGCAGGAGCCAGGGTAGCTGCTGCCAGATACCATCGGCCCCCGCACATAGAGGCCAGCGAGCATATGGGGGCTGACAGTGTCCGTCAGCAGCCACAGCCTGCTAGCTCCTTGACTGGCACACTCTGGACAGCTGGTTGACAGCTGAGGAGGTGATGCAGTGGGTTATGCCCAGGAAGAGGAGAGCATGCGAGGCCAGGAGAGACGGAACCGGGGGGGGGGAGGGAAACCAGCCGTGCCGGGATGCATCTGGGACATGGGACCTCGGGCGGCTGGTTGAAGAGGGACGGTTGCCATCTCTGGGGCATGGCACATGAGCCCACAAAGAGGGCTCTGAGTGCCGCCTCTGGCACATGTGCCTAGGTTCGCCACCACTGTCCTAGAGGGACAGGCTGTAGAAAAGTTTGCAGTTCTAATCCGGGCCAGTGAGACAAAAGAGCACTCAGTTGAAGATGGGAGGGAAGATGAAGGAGTCTGGAGTTTCCAAAAACAAAGCCAGTGTTTATTAGCTTGTTCTGTCCACAGGAATCTCACATTACAAGCGCAATGTGGCTTTGTGCCTGACTTCATCATGTGGAGCTACTGCTCAGATGCCCCGTATCTCAGGTTTATTTTTTTATTTACAGTTATTTACAAGAGAAAGTATACTCACATCACTCAGACTGGCAGAGGAAGGGGGCCTGCTTTTAGGAGGGAGGGTGAATGAAGAAGGTCCTGTGTTTCTAAGCATGAAAGGTGAACACCTTTTGTCAACAGCAGGTGGGCATACAGCTGGGGGGGGGTAGGCAGAATCACATAAACTGCAGATTTCCGCAGTTTTCGGGTTTGCTGCGAATACAGTTTCTTGCTGTGCAGACAGAAGCAGAAATAATATCGTTTCCATCACCCTAACTTACTCCAGCTATACATTTAGGGTAATGTGATATAGCTCTGTGCAAGATACTTTCTATACCTACCATGCGCAGTAATGGTAGTCCCTGTAGCTTTGTGTAATTAGCTCCATATTAACAAGATCCATAGCCATAGGAAAGCATTTGTTTTCCTTGCATCAGTGCACAGATTAGTCCAATCAGAAATTCAGGATATGCAGAATGCTGCAGCTCTGCAAGTAGATGCCATGTGGCTTACTTTTAATTTCATTTCCCTATGGAGTTAGGGCAAGATAAAAATCATGCCTATATCAATGAGACTTGGATTCATAGACCCAAGAGCACCAAATTATTTTCCATGGGGCGGGGAGACATTCAAGAAAGACTACAGCAAGGGGAAAAATGAGCTCAGTGGGAAGACATTCAAGAGCGTAAATAAAGATATAAATTTGGCATATTCACCTTTTCACCCAGGAACCCCCTCCCTCTTTGAATGTGCTTATCTGATGGTGAGAAACATGTGAACTGTTCATGTTCATGTTTAATTACAACTAGTCCTCAACTTATAACAATTGAGACCATAATTTCTGTTGCTAAGCAAGGCAGTTGTTAAGTGGGTCATGCCCAATTTTATGAGCTTGTTTGCCATGATTAAGTGATCGCTGCAATTCTCAAGTGAATCGTGCGGCTAAGTGAATCCATTGATGTTGCTTGTCAGAAGGCTGGGCAGTTGCAAATGGCGATTGCATGATCCCGGGTCACTGCAACTGTTCTGAATACATGTCGGTTGCAGCCGTGGGGATGCTGTGGTGCAAGGACCAATCATAAAGTCACTTTTTTCAGTGCCATTGTAATTGTGAACAGTCACTAAATGAATAGTTGTAAGTCGAGGACTACCTGTATTATAATTTAAAGGTAGACTGAGAATCTAGCAACGTTGGCTTCATTTCTGAAGACGAGAGAACAGTAAGGTTGGGGGGAGACAATGATTCCATGCAATTGAATGCTTATTAATCTTCAGCCTGTTTTTCATAAACTCACATTACAATTGAGAGAAAGACAAACAGATCTCCCTGAATCTCCCCTTTCGTGCTCTCGCCAGCCAGTCTTTTTCTTACGTTGGCCATGTGACCTGCTCAGTAATGTTGACGCTATAGAATTCTTCTGTGACTAATAGAACACCTTCGGTCAGATTGTTACACTTGTCCTTGGTTTATATTGCTTTGCTCGATGGGATATCATACTGAAGCTTTGGACTCCTTACAGGCAATCTGACATGAATACATTATAGAACTTAAGTTGGGAAACCAAGGCACCGATTCCTCCATGGGTTAGCAAAGCAGAAACCAGATAGCCTGATGGCCATGCACCAATGCTTTATCCTCTCTCCTACTTCAATGGCCATGCTGTCTTTGGTCTTGGAAATGCCTGATGCATGCACTACAGGAGAGTAGCTTTGGTTCATATGTACATTACATCTCCCTGGCATAACTCATTTGGATATGGCCCTTGTGTCCATCAATGGTAAACTGCTCAACCAAACCAGCTGCCTCTGCCCGGAGCGGCCAAATCCCATTCATCCTGGGAAGGCACTCCAGTTGAAGCACTGTCAAATCAGAAAGTCCTTTTTGAACTCCTAGTGGAATTGGCTTATTTTCAGTAGCAGGAAGACCACTGCATGGGTCATATATAGATATCCTTGATGGAGCACTTCCTTCTTCCTCAAATAGCTCGGGCTCCCTAAGAGCTGCAGTCTCCATAGCAAGTTTCCCTGGAGGGCATCCCATCAATATGTGCTTTGAGTCAGAGAGATGTCTAGAAGAGGAAGAAAGTGCTTTGTAGGTGTGGCAGGGGCTTATATACACCTCTGGGTGTGTAGTAGTAAGGGGAGTAGGACTGGGAGAACGTTTGGTGCCTGACAGCTGCCTTAAAAATAACACACACCACCAAAAAGGAATTGTTTCAGTGATAGTAACAGCAATATCTCAATTTTGCTGAGGATGGGCTAGCCTTAAAAGTCATTTGCCACACTGTTCTGGATCCATAGAGCGTTGTGCCCAACTGTGCTAAGACCATAATGGAGAAAGAGAGCTAAGGGAACAGTAACTTTGCCATTGGACATCCTTGAACCTCTCCTTCCCTGACTGGGGTCAGCTATCCACACTTGAGAGGCAAAGGGAAGAATTGTTTTGGCTCTGTTTTCTACCCTCCAAGATGTCAATTCTTTTACAGTACCACAGATAAATGTGGGAAGGAAGAGCCAGCTGCCATGGGGGATGCCTCCAAGCTCTTTGCCACCTCGCACCCAGGCAAGACCCATGGATTATATACAACCTACAAATAAATACTGTCTTGATAGGGAACAGTGTGTGGTGGTGTGAGATTTCTCATATATATATATGAGAAATATATATATATGAAAATGGGGAATTATAGAACTGTCATCACATAGTCCCTTTCAGCTGCCCCTCTCATGTGTGCTGATCCATCTCTGGTTGGTGATTCCGGCGGTTTCGTGGCTTCTTCTGGTCATGCAACTCTTTGGCTTTGAGACCAGCCAAAATCTCCTTGTGATTGGAGGCCACATGCCGCCAATATCCCTGGCAATACTGATTGATGAGTCCCATCTCGGGCTGCGTGAGCAGCTGGACAAGGTCATGGTACTGAGAGCTGAAGGTGCCTGGCAGGCCAGCTCTCATGGCTGCTGCAGAGGGGACGGGGGCTTCTGACTGGAAGAGCACAGCATGGACAGTCTCACTGCTCAGTACATGCAGCTGCACTTTGGCTACGGTGTGCTTGAAGTTGTTCTCTGTGGCTGTGCAGGAATACAAACCCCCATCTGAGAGCTGTAGGGACCGCAACAACAACCCTTGATCTGTCCTCAGTATCCGTCCTTCAGTGCGGAGCTGTGGAAAGAGAAACAGCAGAAAAAATGGTTAGTAGAAGTGAATCAGCCAAGCTTGGAGATATTAGAAAACAATGGTAGGGAAGGAAGTAGCCATAGGTCACAATCAACCATAGTTGTCTTCTTGGATCCCTTTAGGACTTGTAGCCTTCTTGCATCACAATTCACATTGTATTTCCTCTTACAACAATTAAAAGTTTTGTTTTTTAAGAAAACCTCTACTGCAGACCTAATGAGTAATCAATCATTACCAACTGCCCATTTCCTATTCTTCTTGCTCAAGATGAAATGAGAGCATAGGCAGGGCTTGAGAAAACTCCATATCTGTGCTCGAGAAATCATGTGGGTTGGGAGGGGATTGAGAAAGATCAGCTTTAGCTGAAATAGGTTGAAAAGACTTTCAGAGCATACTCCAGCATCTTTCAATCTGGCACTCTCCATATTGACCTCAACTCCATCCTCTCCAACCAGCCATGCCCAATGGCTATGCAGTCTGGGATGAAAGAAGCTTTAGCCCAACCCACATTGAAAGTTCTAGGTTGGGAGAGGCAGCCTTAGCTGAACAAGATCAACGGCAGCTCTGCTCTTTGCTTGTGAGATATGGAGGTGTCCTGGATGGTTGCCCGTTAGCTTGTGTGATAATTGTGTGTGCCTTTTAGTATCTAGAGCAGTGGTTCTCAACCTTTTTAATGCCGTGACCCCCAACCGGTCGTAAGGCGAGGACTAAACCAGTTGTAAGTCGAGGACTAAACCGGTCGTAAGTCGAGGACTTTCCCTGCCCGGGAGCGCCACGCATGTGTGGTTCCGCCCCCTGTGCCGGCCGAGGCGTAGCTGGCAAGCGGCAGAGACGGAGCAGGCCGACCACCAGCTGGCCCAGCTTAAGGGAGGTAAGGCACCCGCCGGAAAAGGGGGAAAAAAATGGCAGACAGCCTTGCTTGGCGACCCCTGTGAAATGGTCGATCAACCCCAAATGGGGTCGCGACCCATAGGTTGAGAACCTCTGATCTAGAGCATGGGTAAAAATACTCTGATGTCAGTGAAGAGGTTGAAAGCAGGCTCAAGGGAAAGAATGAAAGAGCCACATCTCTCTCAAGATAAAAGAAGAGGAGTACCTCTCCCCCCCAAACCTCAACTGGGATGCAGACTCCTCCTTCCCTACCATGTGTTTAAACATCTCCACCCCCTTTCCCTGACTACTTTCCAAATATGGCTTTTTCTCCCTTGCCTGTCTGCTCACCTCTTTCCTTCGGTCACTGTTGTCTCTCTGGAGGAGCCATTTGATGGTGGCTTGAGGGGAGCGAGGCTGGCATTCAAGAAAGGCTGTGCTTCCCTCCACTCCATATTGAACAGCCTCCACTGAGTTCTTGCTGGCTGGAAGTGGGAGAAGGAAGAATTAACCAGATGACAGATTACAAAGGGAGACATGACATCTTTGTAGCATAATCATTCTAGACTAATCAAAGGCTATCTACCCAAAAGAAGTGAGCACATTTATTATCAGACATCCTTTTCAGGTGAACCTGCAGTATTCTAGGTGTGGTCTTACTGGAGTGGTATTAGTACTTCACGTGATCTTGATCAAATTCCTCTGTTAATGCAACTTAGGATTCCATTGGCTTTTTTGGCTGCCGCCACACACTGTTGGCTCATATTTAATTGATTGTCCACTAAGACTCCAAGATCCCTCTTACAGTTGCTGCTGTTAAGCCTGGTTTCACCCAAACTATATGTGTACTTTTGGTTTTTCTTTCCTAAGTGTAAGACTTTACTTTTCTCTACGTTGAATTTCATTTTGTTAGGTAGGGCCCAGTGTTCAAGTCTGTCAAGATCCCTCTGGATCTTGAGCCTATCATATAGGGCAGGCATGTCAAATTGCCGGCCCGTGGGCCAGATGCGTCACGAGAAAACTATGCCCACCCCATTGCCGGCAATGGGGAAAAAGTTCCGATACGTCAATGTGATGTCTTGAGTTTGACATGTCTGATCTAGGGTGTTGGCTATTCCTGCCAGTTTAGTGTCATCTGCAAATTTGATAGGTTCCCCTTCTATAATAAAGTCCCCCTTTTGTAATAAAAACACTGGATCAGGGAATCCTTTTAAGGTTGCCTTTTCACCTTATCCCACAAATGAATCTGCACAACTGCGATGTCTAGAAATTTTGGTTGTTATAATTTTTATCCTCCAAAACAAAAATAAAGAATTAGGACTTAACCTTTCATGAATCTTCTTATAGAGATATGAGGAAGAAAGATATCACGGTTGTACCCAAACCTCAAGATGTTCCACCCTTCATTGATCTCTTCTGGTAAACTAGCCATCTTTGTATCTCTTGTATGGATTAAAATAGTACGTGAAATGCAGCTGCAATCACCTTTACAGACAGCGGTCCATAAGAAGCAGAATCACTGTTCCCCAAGACTTCCCCAGTGCAGGATATGCTAACCTCTGTCTCCTAAAGATTAAGAATATGGTACCCACCGTTGGAATTGTAACCTCTGCACTGACGGATAGGGTTGCCATGCCGGATGTCTTGACGTCTGCTACGTCTGCAGTGAGGAAAGAAGCAGCCAGATCAGCAACTGAAATCTCAGGTCTTACCACTAACAGTAGAAACAGCAACATGATAGAAAGCTCTTATAACTGACTTCATCGTTCTACTTTTCTGGCCCGTACCCATGCAGAAAATCCTTCAGTAATTCTTAGCCAATAATGAAAAATTTCTAACATCTTTCAAGAACCAGTATTCTGGCTTACAAGGAAGTTACTAGTTTTCTAGTTCTAGTTTGGACAGAGCAACATAGGTTTGCTTGGGGTGTAGGATGAGGTTATGGCATGATGGTCAGTTTTTTTTTCAAAACTGGCTGGTAATGTGTCTTCACAGTTATCATGGAATTCCACATGTGACACTGATATGACTAGGGTGACAACCTAGTCTACTTTCTCCCCCTATTACTAAAAAGCAGCATGGGAAAACCTCAATTAACTGAAACAATCCCTTTCTATGTTCTATGCCCCTGTTCTTGTCTTCCCAGTTTTTTTGGGAAGTCCCTTGGCTAAGGATTACCTATCCAGAGCAAATAGCAGTCTTTCTAGTCACTTGGAAGTACCTCTTGGAAGAAGCAGAATAGCGGGAACAGGACTTGCCATCCCAGGCACAGTAGGGATCCCTGGCCAAGCAGCAGTCAGCACAGGCTTCTCCGTACACATCACAGCGGTGGAGGGCCAGGTGTGTTAGCCCAATGGCTGAGGATACATAGAGCTGTTGCTGTTGGGGCATAGTAACATTCAGATATTGACAGAGATACAGATTCTTCTGCTCCCACAATTCACCCGTGATGGGGATGGTGGCGATATAGATTTCCTTGAGACAAAGTGGACAGAAACACTGCCTTGCCCAGCTTACCCAGAGTTGCACCCCAATAATCAAGAACTTTTGGACTAAACCCAAGGCAGTATAGATACTCAAAGAAATAGAAAAGTGCTAGAATTGAAGGAGGGGACACCTCCAAGTATCTTAGCCTTTTGCCAAGAAGAACACTAGTTAGGGGGGGGGGAAGCACACTTTCCATGAACCAGCTCTGAACCAGATTTAGAAATTGTCTCAGAAAGAGTCCCAAAGATGCTTCAGTTCTGAAGATGCTTCTTGGATGAGAAGCGAAACATTTTCAAAGAAAAAAAACAACCAAGAAAGCCTGATTGACTTTTGGAAAAAACACTTTTGGGACAACCATGACTTGGATGATTGAGAATCTCCATAGACACTCTCAGGAAGAGAGTACTTACCCTTTTGGAAGAGATGGTCATAGTCTTGATTGAGGCTGGAATCTGTAGAGAAACCAAACAGTTAATCCATAATGGTTAATCCATGTATAAAACAGAATGACTGGTCTCTGAAATAGTTTAGGGAGAGTAGACCAATTAATGTGATGCATCCCTGCCAATTAAAAGTATTATATGAAAAACTGGGAGAATGAGAAAATTGGGCCTGCAATTTCATGAATATCAGTTCTAAGTATTCAGTTATTGATTTTGGGAGGGTATTCAAAATATGTTATTTTAATCTAGCCCTTGCACCATTCCTAGACAATTATTGTTTAATATGATCTTACATATAAAGGTAATGTTTCAATATTTATGTATTCATTATTATTAATATTTGGATCAGTTCCATCTCTTCAAAACCTACTGACCTTTAACACTGCACTTTTAAACAGAAGGTTTTGGGTTTGGTTGTGGATGTCTACATGCATACTGTGCATTTACATACATAAAGAATAAGATTGATCAGATCTTTTGTTTCTTCAAATACTAATAGACTAACGTATCTTTTTCGGTTGCATATGTGAATATTTCAATCAGAACCAGTTTGATCTAGTGGTTATGGCACCAGACTAGAAGTCAGGAGATGTAAGTTCTAGTTCTGCTTTTGGCATGAAAATTGGCTGGGTGACCTTGGACCAGTTACTTTTTCTCAGCCTAACTCATCTCACACCCTAACCCTAACTGTAACCACCATATTGATCCAATCAGATATCACCATCCAGACTCCATATAGCAAATGACAGAACTACTTAGTAAAATCATAGCTGAACTGAAATGACCTTCACATCTTCCATTCTGCCACTACATTATTCTTGCTTTCAAGCACACATGTAATTAAATTTTTAGAGTAAGGTAATCATCACTTGTACCTTGAACACCTCAACTTCTTCTAGCATCAATTCTTCTGTTTCCAAATCATCTTTGGGCAAAACTATGACTTTCTGGACAGTCCCACGATCTGCAACATAATAGAAACAGACCTTTATGTAGGTCTTCTCTTTTGTGTAGTTTCCATTTTAACTAGCATTAACAACTTTTTAAATGGTAGTATCTGCATATTTGGAAAGTGTCTGGGAATGGCTGGTTAGCTTGTTGTCATAAGAGAATGTTGGTCAAGTTTCATTCAGCTCTCATTTTCTGTACAAGAACTGGTTGAACTGACAGGTTTTCTCATAATTTGGCCACTGCAAAGAAAGTCCCATTCCTGTCATGAATTTACAGAACCACAGAATAGCTCACAATCCTGAGATAAAGGAAAGAAACCTAACAAGCACATTATATAACAATCAGAAATAACTTAAACCCAAGAGAAAAAGAGCTGCACATAAAAGAAATTCTGCACTGATATTTTTTTCAGTTTATATGAACCTCAAAGAACTGCATGGCTGTGTGTGTGTGTGTGTGTGTGTGTGTGTTTCTGTGTGTCTGTATGTTAAAGTGTAAGGAGTTTGCTTTTTTCCACATGGACTATCAACTTCATGAACTAGCCAGTCATGAAGAAGAAATACAGTTCAAAGTCAATATTCATTAAAAATGTTAATAAAATATATTTAAAGTGGACTCTCATTTCATCATTCTGTAGAGCCTTTTCATTTTTATACCAACTTGACTTCCTAATATAATAATCATAGCAAGCAGCATGGGCTGAGAATGGATGTGTGTGATCATGATCTTTGCAGGATCTTGCTTTCTTCCTTCCTCTTTAGTTAACTGAAAGTGAGGCAGATCTTCAGCCATCTCTAAGATAACTCCTGGCATTAGGACATCTTTTGAGTTTCCACCCATGAAAGCAAATTGTGGCTCTCCCTTACTTGCAAGAGTAAAGCAATACATTGCAAGAAAGCAAACAAATCGGCTGTTCTTGCAGTGACCACTTGGGAGGGAAAATTTTAAAAACAAAATGAAGAAGAATATTTAATTCTGAATGCTTTTCTAGAAGACTTTTGATAGTTCCTATCTTGTTTGTGTTGAAAGATGGGTTCCAAGTGCTTCCTTCAAGGCTGAATTAGGTCTCATCTTATGAAACAAACACCATTTTGAATTTTGTGACATGTGTGGGTATATAGACTTCAAAGTGAGGGAAAATATTTGTAACTATATTTAAAGACTTCAGCAGGATATATTCAAATTTAAATAGTAATTTTTTTATAGAAATAGTCCTTATGATTACTTTTATGTAACTCATTTTAAAAACCAGACACAGATGCTTCTGAGAAAACATTAGATATGGTCTGAAACATAGAAGTGGGGCTGGCAGCTATTACTTTTCAATATTTTGACAATGAACTCACAAGACTGACTTCTGAATGTTGAACCTTGTTATGAATTCAATGGCTGGAGATGATATTAAAAGCAAGAACTTCTATCTGAGCAACCCAACCATTCCTCTTCTATATGCCTTCTGTATTGAATGCCACCCACAGCCATGAATTCCATCAGACAGTACCTTGATCCCTGAACTTGGTTCTTTCTGCAACAGGAAATAACTAAGATTTGCAGATTCATTACACCTTTTGCTAGAAAGAAAGCAGAAACTCCCTGCAGACTTTGACAGGTGATGGCCAGACTGTGTACAGCTGCTGGATGTTGTGCAGTGAATTGGGCAGCCCAAAGAATAACTGTGCAGACACGCAATATTTGCAAGCTAATGAGGAACATCCTTGGTTGTTAGTATTCTTGGCCACCTGCTTGCCCTGTTGGCTGGTCTCCTTTGACTTGTGGGAGGCAAGTAACTCAACTACATCAGATTCAAACCAGTGCAAGGAACATCTGCTAGCCATGCCTTCCCTCTATATTAATTCTGCACTTTGATAAATCATGTCTTTAGAGCTGTGTGTTTTTTATGCTTAAAGTAATTAGCAGTACTGTTCCATTCACTTCAGCGGAGACTTGGACGTGTACAAAATTGTACGCTTTGCGTTAATTATACCTCCAACAAAGATTTGGAGAATGATGGGTCAACATTGCCTGGTTGGCAGATAATATTACATCAGCCTTTCTTAATAGCCTTCCAAATATGAATGATGGCTTTCAGCCTTCCTATCCAGACACGGGATTATAGGCACTGGAGCCCAACACATCTGGTAGGAACTTTGCTGGCTCAGATAAATTCTACTCTGGAGCTTCTAGAAGGGCATGTTTATAGATAAGAGACTGAATCCATTAGAATCCTTGCTTGATATATTTTTACTCTGTTAAAGTCAAAGAGGGGGACTCTTATTCACTCAAACTGAGAAACATTACCAGAATTCTGTTCTTGCATCTGAAGCAGCCTTGCAAGTAATACAGGAAACCATAGGAAATGAAGAGTCAATTCTTTATAGAAAAGGACTCTGAAGTGTGACTTATGGAGTAGTAAATGCTAGCCTGAATTCCTTTGACTTGAATAAGCAGAAATTCCAAATGTTCTCCTGTGCTCCTGAAATAGTATTCTAGTACAAATGAAAAAGTTGGAGTTGAGATTTGATAACTCTGTGACTGTCATCCAACTGATTGCATTGCAAGATAAATTACTCCCAAAAATTTACTAAAACTTGGGGGAAGAGAAGATACAGAAAAGCTTTGATGAATACCCCTAGACTGCTTATCCTAATTGGTTTTGCATAAAACCCAAATGCTCATCTTCCAGGCTGGGGATTGGTGGGTGGCAGTGCTGTGTATTCTTTTCAATGCACATCAGTGGGTACCTGTGCCCAGGAAAAGCACCTCATAGCGTCCATCAGCTGCATCCACCTGGTCCACAGCTATAGTTGTGAACTTGTACTTGACGTTGGTTCTCACCACAAGAGGTTGGCGGTGTATGGGGTAGACACCATTGTACATCATTGGATGAGTGCGCATGAAGTTGATAACCTCATCAGGATAGTCCTTGGTTGATTTCATTAAGGGTGTAAATGTTCCCCCTGGGCACTGAAAAACCAAGGCAAAAATACTAGTATGAGATATGGTTCAGCCAATATATAAATGTTTTGAAGCCAATAATCCATGTGCTTTCTATTTCTCCCCACTCCCTGTGTAATCTCCTCCATGGCCTGGTGTAGGACAATGGCTAAGTACATATCCACCATCAGCCATGGAAGCTCAGGAAGAACTGGAGGAGAGAGTGGTAAGGGCGCCACTCTAAACTCCTGAAAGAAAAGTAAGATATAAATTCAATGAATGGATATAAAGCACCTTGGCTGCTTTCCATAAAAGAATTCTCTTTGGCTCCTCACCTGAAGGCTAGCAAAATATTGTGGGATAGGCCTGTGTACATTCATGTTAGCATGCTTTTGCAATTTTTTGTTCAGCATTTTTATATTTTTTTTGTTTTTAGCTTTCCTGGGTATTCATCTGATTAGAAAAGCGGGATGTAAACTTTCCAACTAAATTAAAAGAAAATTATTGTTTCATTCTGGGAGAAGGAAAGATTTGAGGAGTTTACAGGGCAAGAGAATTTGTTGCCAAGTGGAGCCATCAGATCTCCTCTTCCACAGCCTTAAAGGGATCCAACTCTTTCACCATATCCTTCAGTTTACTTTTCATTGCTTTACCAGGCTGACCCGCTTAGGCTGAAATATCTTTGTGCATCTCTCATTTGCCAACAGCACTGTAATTCTTAGATTGTGGAGTGTTTTAGTAATGCTCATAAAAAAAAAACCCAACCTCAGAATCCCATCTGAAGCAGCTGCTCGGCTGTGGGAGCCAAACCCAGCCTGCTTTCTGGATTTTCTGGAAGCCTCCCCATACATAACAAAGACCAGCTTTTTTTTTTCCCTGGCCCTGGGGGGTTGTACAAGTAAAAGAGACTGGAAAACCACACTCTCTGAGCCAGTGAAATGTAACAATGAATTCTCCTTATTTTGGGATATTTTGCCAACAAAGAAAGGATGCCAGTTAAATGAGAGACCACCAATCTAGAGAGGAAATGCTAATCAGCCTCACACGTGGTGGCCAAATGTCGAGCACTGAAAGAGATGAGCTGTGCGGCACCAAAGGACATGATATAAAAGAGGCTGGGGAAGCACCGGGAAGGGAATGCAGTGAAGTGTCAGAGAATCCCAGCATGCGGGCAGAAGGGGAACCAGAAGAGAAGGAGAAACTGGGCTGCCGAAGCAGGAATTGGATCAACAGGAAGAGCAGCTCAAGACCCTTTCCAACAGGGAATGTCATCGTAATGTCTTTCACTGCAACTGTGAAAAATGCAGAAAGGGGAAGAGCTTAGTCAGCGCCCAGGATTTTCTAGCTTGCACAACTATGGAGTATTTCTCTGGGATTTTACTTAAACATCTTCTTTATTAGCCCTCGTATTTAAAATCCTTTAGCTAGAGGTGCCAAAGAACATGTAATTTTTTTAAAAAAAAAAATTAAATGATTTTCATTTTAAACCTTGACATCACAAAGGAATTCTATTAATGTAAGTGTGCACACAAATGACTCCTAAATTGTGCATTGGTGCACACTCTGTCTTACACACACTTCATAAATACTTGTTTATGTATATATTCAAAGGTCAAATGGGTCATAAATAAAACGGGTGTTCTTAGGAGAACCTATGTGAACCTATATTTTCATCAGAAAGAGGGATCGACATCCCAAGGCCAGCGTTCTGAGAGAAGGAACCTGCTGGAGATCTAACCCCATGCTTACGGTGCCTGGACGGGGATAAGGCATTTTGCCTGTGTATGGCATCCACTGATAGTTGGGACCTTCCTTGTGAGCAAACGGTCCATTGAAGACCATGCGGATGTCAGCCATGGAGTAGACACACACGGCAGAACCCTTAAACACAGACCTGTGTAAAGAGAGACAAAACAACAATTCCACATTCATCTCAGACATTAATAATCTCTTTCATGTAAAAATGCTGGCTATCGTCCGTATTTTTTTCCCCTGCCCTTCATTGTTTCAATGGGGGAATATTCTTCTTTGTTCATCTTTGGTTGCTGGCAAACTCTTGGAACTCCTTTAAACCTCTGATCGCATGTGCAATGATTTAAAATCCCAAGATGCCAAGATTAGCAAAAGGTTGGGGTAGGGAATAACAGAATAAAGAGTTGGAAGGGAACTCAGAGGTCTTCTAGTCCAACCCCCTGCCCAAGCAGGAAACCCTATACCATTTCAGACATATGGTTGTCCAATCTCTTCTTAAAAACCTCCAATGTTGGAGCATTCACAACTTGTGGAGGCAAGCTGTTCCACTGGTTAATTGTTCTAACGGTCAGGATTTTTCTCCTTAGTTCTAGGTTGCTTCTCTCCTTGATTAGTTTCCATCCATTGCTTCTTTTTCCTACCCTCTGGTGCTTTGGAGAATAGGTTGACCCCCCTCCTCTTTTTTATAGCAACCCTTTAGACATTGGAACACTGATATCAGTGTTATAGAGACAAAGCAAAGTTGGGATTTGAGGCCAGTCTCAAATACCTGTTTTGGAGTTATCCTGCTTTGTTCTCAACAAGATAACATTTCAGTATCAGTCATTACAGTTAGAAGCATGTATTAGCTGCTGCTACTGCTTGCTGATCTAAAGAAAGACATGATGTTTCCTTGATCCTGGGAAGGGGGAGGAACCAACATCTGCCTTCCTCCAAGTCATGACCAAGTCATCAGCTACAGTTGCTAGAGTGCAGTTTGTGCGAAAACCCTACATTTGGCAGCCAATATGTCTGGGCTGTGTTCCAGCTCTGCCACAAAATTCTACAACAACCCAACCTTAATTCCAAACCCTCCTTGGTTCAGCAGGGAGCAGATGGTCAGTATTCACAGAATGGGGTCAATGGCATCTGCTTTTACCATTATTTTGACTTCAAGTTAAGCCAGGGGACTTTGCTCAAGAAGGCTAAAAGATAGACTATTATGAGTACCGGATGAAGCACTCACCCAGAGGCTGCAAAAACGGCATAAATGATGGGATTCTTCACATCTTGGGTCTGCTGGATGAAGACATCCTCTTGAAGAGAAAGGAGATAGTCAATCACACAGCACAACTGACTGTCCTGATGATTCAGCAGCAGATAATCAAAGGAATCTGAAGTTAACCCAGATATATTGGGAACAGCTTTCTTGACTGATATCCTGGCTTTTTTTTTTTGTGGAGCTGCCTATCTTTGCTGTGTGTGGAAGTGCTATTAAATCAAACCCATGGTAGCTTAAGAGAAACAGATTTGGGGCTTTGCATTCCCTGTTTGTTCTGTATATAATTCTGCCATACAAAGTGGTGCAAATAGCCAGGAAACTCACTGTCTTGGGCAAAACAAGCTACCCCAGGTCAATCCAGCACAGTGTCATGGGGCGGGGGGGGGGCTTTATGCAGAGTTGTAGTGAATCAGAAGAAACCTGAGTCTACTGGATGATGACAGAGGTTAAATCAAATTCCATTAATCAGTTACAAAGTACTCTCCAACTAATCCACAATTACATCTAATAAGCATCAAATAAATCCTTTTTTTTATCATGCTGGATTAGAAAAAAATGTTTAAAATACAAGAAGTGATCGTTCGACTTGGACTGTCTAAAACCACACTCTTTTTTTTTTTTTTTTGGCATGTTTCAGCAGATTTTCAAGCATGCTCAACTTTCAGTTTTTATTTAACCTCTCATTTCGATTCCAAATGGGAATCAAAAATGTCCCTGTACAGGAAAGTATGCAGATGTTGCTTCTAATTCAGCCTCAGATGCTGATCGAAGAGATCCTTCCGGTAAGCAGGCAGGAACCCTGCCAAGAGATTCCAGAAGGACCTAGGGAATGAAGATTGCCAGTGAACCGTCTGGTAATAATTCTGAGGAAGTGAGGCGAAGCAAGCATAAGGAAGGCCCAATGCTAACTTGTGCCCTGGCAGGAGAGAATCCATCAAAGGCTTCTGATGATGCTAAAAGCTGCGATGGGATTTCTCCCCGAATGACCAACAGCCATTTGTTTAGCAGGTGTTGAAAGGAAGCTGACAAGCAGCCTGCTAAGCGATTGCGGCTGCCTTTCTAGCAAATGGGATCCCCAACATTAATCACACCCGTCCTGGAGCCCCTCATCTTTGCTTTGCCCCCAAACACAACATCTATCAGGAGGTTAAGCAGGCTCCCTGCTTGAATGATCTTCTATTATCTCAAAGCTGGCCCTGATCTTTACATCTGGTAACTCAAAGCCTCCTTTCCCCCTCTCATCCTTCCTTTTTAGCAAGTGCTGCAAGCTAGTCAATGTAATACAAAGAAACAAATTGTGGTGGGACTTCCAAAATGAATCTGACCAATCTGTTTAGAATCAGGTTTTGCTACAGTGCTGCTTATATCAAAGGAGATCCTTTAAGAAAAGGCCTATTTTAAGACAAAGGTCCTGTTTCCTACCACAGCCATCTAAACTGCAAACTCCAGAAAGCCTGCAGGCAGGACACAAGGACAGTGGCACACAGATTTGCTTTGAGAAAAGTGACCTCTTTTTTTTTTTTTTTTTGGCAAAGCATTTCATTCATGGTTGACAAATCACACATTTCAAAAAATCCTGTCAAAAGTCACTGCTGCTACTATTTCTTATCTCCCCTTCTTTGACCTTCAATCTTAACCATCAAAGCAATTAAAATTGCCTTTTAATGTTGAATCTTTCCAAATATTAGTTCAGTTTTCTTGGATTTAGGCAAATATCCATGGTTTCAGTTACCCAAAGGGATGTATCTGCTGTCTCTTCAGGCCATACTAGTTTTTTAAAAAATCATTCAAATTATATGACCTACTCAACGAACTTCTGGGATACTTTGCATGTAAGGCAAACTTCCCCAGCTTGACACCTTGTAGTAACCTGAAGGAGCTCCACCATCCATAATCCTCATGGACGACAGAGGTGAAATATTATCAGATATCCTAAAGATAAACTTCAGTACAGTTTTCTTGTTTTTCCACCTTAAGCATACACAATTAAAAAAATCTTAGCTCTGTACTCTGACAGGATATTACCCTCACTTTTATTTAGAATTTGGGGGGGGGGAATGTTTTTCATTTTAAATG